TTTTGCGTTTTTTCATATGTAATTGATTATGATGCACACATAATTGATCACATGACAACATAACAGATTATGGAGCCCTCATACTCAATTAAGGATATTATTTTTTTATTGCTTTTATAATTATAATAATAATAATAAAAATAAATAAAATAATTTTTCACAAATTTCTTTCCAATCAAACCGGTATATTTCCACCTGCTTCTTACATTTATTTTTCTTATTTTCTCTTTTTTACCCTATATTCTACAAAATGAAGCATTAGTATGTAAAGTGAATGACCAATAAATTTGCAGATTAAACAATCACTTTGACTTATTGTAACGACATAAATTGGCTTAGAACGACCAATAAATTCACATAATTAAGTTTGTTTTCTGCTTGTATGCAGAAATAATTAATTTCAAATAAGAGATACGGCGTACATACCATCATTACAATAAGACCATGAAGAAGACTTACCTCTTCTAAACTTTCTTTTGTTTTGTCTGCATAATACTGAGTATTTGAACAGTCTGCACCATCCCAACAGTCAGACATATGGGGAAAAGTGAGGTTTTGAAGACCTATTTTTCCAGAAAAGAACATTTTAGAGACGAGAAGATGACTTTGTAGACCTTGGCTCTTCACTATATTTATACACGCCAATACCTCGCTTTCTTCCAAGTCTTCCAGCATCAACGTACTGCACAAGGAGAGGGCATGGTGCATATTTATTGTCTCCAAGACCAGCATGAAGAACTCTCATTATTGACAAGCACACATCCAATCCAATGAAGTCTGCAAGCTCTAAAGGACCCATTGGATGGCTAGTACCTAGCTTCATTCCTCTGTCAATATCCTCTTTGGTTCCAACCCCAGTGTAGAGAGTAAAAAAGGCTTCATTTATCATAGGCATAAGGATTCGATTCACTATGAAACCTGAATAATCCTGGGAGGTAATTACTACCTTGCCCAACCTACACATTGAGCAAACACAGAATTAAAAGAAGAATATTATGACAGTGAATTCTATCCTCCTGCTACTTTAGACATTAAACCACACAATCAGTCCACATTCACAACACAATTTTCTTTGCCGCAAATGACATTATTTAGAAAAAAAATTCTCCAACTTTTGTATTAGTTGATAATGCATTTAAATTATTATATTTGACTAATTTTGTTTAAAGATAATTTTGAGTATGTAAATATATAATAATCTAAAATATATATCCGCAGTGTCCTACATTTTTTAGACTACACATTAAAATATTTGTATTCGTGTTGGTATCCATACCACATAGACTAGTACTCTTTATTCTTCATGGTGGGAATTTGGTACTAAAGAAGTCTAATTCGCACCTTCGTCTTGCCTTTCTAGTTACTAAAACTCTTCGGAATTTGGTTTCTAGGGACTGAATTCAAACAAAGAAAACGCAACAAAAATCGCATATGGAAGGTTGGAATTTGATTATCCAAAATTAAATCTCGACTTACAAGTGTTCCGATCTGATTTTTTTTTTCTGACATAGCATAGTTCTTTTTTTAATTTTTCAAGATAACACACTTTAGTTAATATTTATCTTGGTAGAACGGATTTTTGAGAGGACAGAATTCAGTTCCCGGGCAACCGAGTTCTGACTTGGTTTTTCGTGATTTTGGCCATGCTATAGCTCGAAATTCGGTTTTAGGACAGCAGTTCGGATCTGGTGTTCCATGATTTTGGTTGAGCTGTAGCTCGAAGTTCGGTTTTAGGGCGGCTAAGTTCTAACTTGGTTTTCCATTATTTTGACCAAGCTGTAGCTAAGAATTCGGTTTTAGGGCAGTCGAGTTCTAACTTGGTTTTCCATGATTTTGGCCAAGCTGTAGCTCAGAATTCGTACCATGGGTAGTTAAGTTCTAAAATTAATTTTCGTTGTAGCTCAGAATTCGTTTCTTGGGTAACCGAGTTATAGCCTTAATTTTTGTGATTTTGGCCGAACTATAGCTCAGAATTCGTTTCCCGGATAGACGAGTTTTGGCCGTAATTTTGGTTGAGCTATAGCTCGAAATTCGTTTTCCGAACAAGCAAGTTTTGGTCTTTATTGTCATGATTTTGATCGAGCTATACCTAGAAGCCAAGTTTGGAAGCCAAACAAAATACTTTTTTGTATTCTCCCAAGTTGGAGTTTCGTCTTTGGCGAAGCGATGTCAGGGGGTGGGTTTATGTATTTTTTTTGTTGAGAGAAGGTAGGAACTTGGTTATTAGGAAGCCGAATTCCAAGTTGTTATGTGTTTAAAAATGGCCAAGCTAGTACTCGAAAGTTGTTTTTGTAGTTACGTATAGTTTTCCATTTTGTTGAATTATATTTTTGAAATAAATTTTATGACTGTCTAATTAAAGAATAGAAGATGGAACAAAATTTACGAAAGAAAAATTGTGTAAGTATAAGAAAAAAAATAAGTTGCATTAATTTTACTAAAAGCATTAGAAAGGGTTAGCATCAACAGAAATAGAAATTTTATTACTATATAAGTTAAAACATTACAAGAGTGGCATAACACAAAAATACATATAAAAAAGAAAGGAGATTTCGTTATGATACTTCGACCACATTCCAATTACTAAATTAAGTGATTCAACCATCATGAGTGGGTGATGGACCACAACAAACATGGTAAGGCGGCTCAACCTTCATGAAATTCACAAAGAGACATTGTCTGGGTAGAAACCATTACTGAATGTCAATGAATGACATGTTGAACATCTTTCTCAGTAATTAAGAAACCAAACTCTGAAGCTTCTTCTTCAAATAATTTGATAGATATGGTACCACAAATTACTTAACTCTCCATTCGTCACCGTTCGCCGTTGTCCGCTGCCGACCACCGTCTATTGTCGTCCGTTGCCATCTGCTGCCACAGTTTAGTCCGACGACTAGTGATCTGGATCGCCTCCTTGAGCAAGAGGGCTAGTTATAATCCAGGCGCCGCCATGCGTGCCACATTTGTCTGACGTTCGCCTCCGCCATTGTCACATTTTCTCTGGCAAGTTAGGGGTTTTGTTTGTGCGCCTCGAGGAACGCGACTCATCCTAGTTCGTTGCCTCATTCTCATATCTTTTCACGCACGACTTCTTTTCGATAAGCTTTCGACGCTTGTTTGTCACACGCCACCTTTCTGGTGTCGGAATCACACAGTGTCACTGTAGTTCGTCTCGCTCGACCAAATAAAAAAAACTCTCTATTTCAGCATTATACCTTTGTTTCAGCATTGTTCCTTAGCCTCCTTTCATAATATTTGTTTAGCTTTGCGTATTGTAGCAGTTGTGATGTTCCTAATGGCTTGTGTCATTTATTTACGTCTCCAAGGAGAATCAGTGCTATTAATTGGTTAACACCAAGGAATTTCAACACCAAAGTCATAGGTTGAAGGTTCCTCATGGAGTTTATTTCTCGCAAGATTCAGAATCTTAGTTCAAAACAATTTCATCAGTCCCTTGTCAGATATGTTTTTGGATGCTTTGATGAATAAAGGAGACCCAATTATGATCTTCCACCTTCACGATTTGTCATCGGCGGCATCGTCATTTCCGTCGTTTGTCGTGAGGGGGAGTATGTTTCCAGCCACTGCAATATGTTTCCAGCCACTGCATGCCCCATCAATCAGTGATGGCATTCCCTACAGTTTTGTCCTTTCAGCCGCTGCAGGCCCCCATCACCTTGTCAGTCAGTGATGGCAGTGCTTGTAGTTTTGTCGCTTCTAGCCACTATTGGCCCTATCAGTAAGTGATGGCAATTTAGTTCCTGCAGGCTCCATCAGTTAGTGAGGGGGAGTATGTTTCTACCCACTAGTCAGAGGCCCCAACTAGTCAGAGATGACAGTCTCTGCTTTCAGCCACTACGAGCCTCAATTAGTCAGAGATGGAACTCCCTACAGATTTGTCGCTTTCAGCCACCGCAGGTCCCAACTAGTCAGATATAGCAGTCCCTGCACTTTTGTCGCTTTTAGCCATGCAGGCCCCACCTTACATTGATGGCAATCCAGTCTTTGCAGTTTGTCGTTGTCTACCCCTCATCATTCACTTTTGATGGAAAATCAACTTTGTCAAAGTCATCCTACTTGAAGGTTCATGGTGCTAGAAAAGTTTCGTGGTTGTCCAATATTATCTTCATAAGCTTATGAGGAGTCTCTTTGGCTATATTAGATTGTGAGCCCAATTTGGTTTATAAACATTCTTTCTCGATGGTCGGAGCATATGTGCACTTGTTGTTCGGAGCAAAGTTACCACGTCCTATTGTCTCGACATTTTAGACAAGTTGATTTTGTTGGATTGAGTTTATTTATTCCAAGCTTGGCACATATACAATTTGTATGCTCCAGCTTGCGGGGGAGTGTTTAGAATATTTACCCTATTTATATTAATTATATAGTGTGTCCTTGGGTTACCTAGTTTATCATATTATATTGTGTTTAGGTTACCCCTATTTATCATGATTGATATTGCGTCTAGTGTATCCTACTTTATCATGATTATATTGTGTCTAGGTTTTACCCTATTTACTCATGATTATATTGGTTTTAGGTTCCACCTAATTATCAGTACTCTTGTGTCTCAATTTACTATTTATATATACTATTGAATAGAGTAATCAATTAAGTACTCTAAATTATTTTTCTTTTCAATATCAGT